TATCTAGCAACCTAACATGTGAGCGCTTGGCTAATGGCTTCGCATTCTCGGCGTGCAAGCACCGACGTCCAACATTAGCCTCGCACACCCCACTCTTTTTAACCCAAATTTTAGTTTTAAATTAATATAAAATACCAAAAATACTATATTTATAATTAGGCATAGTTAATTCATGTAGTTAATCATAATTAATATAACATACAATCAAAGATTCAACAAAGGCTTCAATACCAATTGAAGGATCATGCATCCTACGGGGTATGGAATAAACAAAAATTATCCTTCATCTAAAGGGTCCAAAATCATATCGTTGAATCAACTAACTAACTAACTAAATATATATATATATATATATACACACACACACACACACACACATATATGAATTAAAACAATGAACAGAGAATTATCTCTTATAGCGTATATCTAAATTCTTAAGCGAGAAAAGTCATCCAAGTGTTCGACCTCTATTGATGATTTGTTTATTCCTATAGAAATCTAATCGAGGCAATTTTGCGACAACCCAAAAACATGAGAGTGGAGATAGCATGCTAGAGTCAAGGAGAAAACAATTTTCTCCTAGCTTTTACTTTGGGTCGTATTTCCCTTTTATTTTTCTTTTGTTAGCCAAATTTTTCTATCCCAAAAAATCTCTTTTCTTCTTCTTTTTCTTACGTATGTCGCACCTCTCTCCCTCATATATTTATAGGAGAGACTTCTTTGTCCTCTAAGGATAAGGAGGGGTGGCAATGAGTTCCTTAAAGACTCTAGATTGTTGCTTCCCGATCCTTTAAGGATTAGGAGTTATATTATATGTTAGCTTTTTTATCTTTATCTTTAAAACATTCATCCTTATCCAATAAGGTTGATGTTTATCCTTAAAACATTTATCCTTATCTAATAAGGTTGATGTTTATCATCCCATCAAAATATCTTAAGGCTTTTAATTAAACCTATTAGGCCAAAACCATTCGATCTAATTTATTTATTTGGACTATCCAAATAAATAATCTTAGATAGTTTTAGGCAACCCACATTAGGAAAAAAAATTCAAAATACCCTTTAACCTAAATTAGGAAACTCATTTCCATATTAGGCTATTTATTTCTAAATTTGGAACTAACTTTCAAATTAGGAAACTAATTCTAAAATAGGAAACTTTCCATTTAAGGAATCTTTTCATTTTAAGAAACTTCTCATTTTTAAAAACCTTTATCCAAAATTGGAAACTTTCAAAATTGAAAGCTTTTTCCAATGTCTTTGCTTCTTTTTAATCATATGAATTCTTAAACTTATGTGTGTGACTTAATAGGCTCCGAAATATGTTGGCAATGTATCAAGAACAAAAGACTCCTCTTTTATCTCTTGATACATAAATCAAGATTAATCTTTAGCAAGGCATCATAACTACTCAATTCTTTAGAAGGATTAATTAATCTATTATTACCTTTCACAAGCATAGTTACCATACAATTCGGTCCTCATATAAACTTATCACGAGTGTGATTTCGAGCTTGGTTATAAGTCTTGTTCGATTATGATTACACAAGTTTTCTTTGATTTTCAAATGTCTTAGCTCTTAGAGTAAACAACTATGCTCTATTGGTGTACTCTTACTATTGTCATAGATTTCTTGAGCGAGATATTCATCGAATTGCAATGTGATAACTCCTTTAGCATATAAGGAATGACATGTCCTATCTTATTCATGTACCTATCTCCATTAGATTCCTAATGCACCCAATGAATTATCCACGTGCAACCCTTGACTAGGTCCATCAATATGAGTGTCAACGTGCATAAATCTTTTAATGAGATAAGCGTGATGGCTTCGAGTCTAAAGATCATTTATACCCATCTCGTATGAGATTCCCATAGACTAAACCAAATAGGTTCTCATGGCGAGTCATGTCTAGTGATATGTTCTCTAACATAAATCACCTAAGTGCTTGCTTTGGCATCACCATACTAATAGGGTAAGATCTCCTGCTATTATCATATAGTCCGAGTATAGCACTCACAAGCCTAACCGTATATAACCAACGTCCATTATTGACAATGCTATGACTTGAGATATTTAATGATATCATTTATATGTATTAGTATTTATCTCACATCTTTTGATCAATCACTATTGTAAATGCATATCATAGGGATTTCTATCTAATTCTACTGAATTAATAAACATAAAAACATAAGAATTTATAGAAAGACTTCTTTTATTATTATTAAAATAAACGATGCAATAATACAATAACTCAAGCTCATCCAAACATGATTGAATCGAAGCACCTACATTAACAAACTCATCTCAATCAAGTAATCAAATAACATTTAACATCAAACTAATAATCATATTAAACCATCTTGAAACATGAGTACACATTCGATCATTTAAGCACTTACATGTCAATATTGTTTACGATGCTCAATTTGTGTGTACTTATTCGATCTCTTAAACCAAGCCACTAGGTCAAACTCGACTGCGATACCACTCTATAACACCCTTGACCTAGAATCTAAGTAGGTCGAGAATATTATTGACAATGCCTCACATTTCAATTCAAGTGAATTCCTTACACTTCAAATGTGATGAATGCGAGACATCAAGCCTCGTATCATTTTTCTATCTTATTAATTAAGATTCGTTGTGGAACCTTATTCAATACAACTAATTAGGTCCATACTTTATTTAAAATTAGGTATAAATTTTTTCCAAAATAAACTATTTTTTATGAAAATACTATTTAATAGAATGTGTAGATTTATTTATCCAAAATATGGCCAAGAACTTATACTTGTAAAATTAAATTTAAATACTTTAATAAAATAATATGGATTAAAAAAAAAAAGAAATTTTCCTCTTTAATTTTCTTTAATAATACAATGACTCAAGCTCATCCAAACATGGTTGAATCGGAGCACCTACATTAACAAACTCATCTCAATCAAGTAATCAAATAACATTTAACATCAAACTAATAATCATATTAAACCATCTTGAAACATGAGTACACATTCGATCATTTAAGCACTTACATGTCAATATTGTTTCGATGCTCAATTTGTGTGTACTTATTCGGTCTCTTAAACCAAGCCACTAGGTCAAACCCGACTCGATACCACTCTATAACACCCTTGACCTAGAATCTAAGTAGGTCGAGAATATTATTGACAATGCCTCACATTTCAATTCAAGTGAATTCCTTACACTTCAAATGTGATGAATGCGAGACATCAAGCCTCGTATCCTTTTTCTATCTTATTAATTAATATTCGTTGTGGAACCTTATTCAATACAACTAATTAGGTCCATACTTTATTTAAAATTAGGTATAAATTTTTTCCAAAATAAACTATTTTTTTATGAAAATACTATTTAATAGAATGTGTAGATTTATTTATCCAAAATATGGCCAAGAACTTATACTTGTAAAATTAAATTTAAATACTTTAATAAAATAATATGGATTAAAAAAAAAGAAATTTTCCTCTTTAATTTTCTTCATTTAAATTCATAAATTTCAGATTAATTAAAATAAACATTATACTTGAACTAAGCAATTTTTTCTTGATTAATTTAATAATCAAATAAATAAAAAGTCCATTATTTTTCCTAAAAATATGGATTATTTGAAAAATAATCCCTTTGGCCTTAATTAATTAGCTACCATATTTCATTTAAAAAATTACTTCATCTCTAAGTGATGCATATCTCCAATTCAATAGAAGACCTTACGATTAAAAATACAATTGGACAATTCAATTAAACATTGATTTAGCCTATTGGAAGCATAATGATGTCATTAAAAGATTGGTATATATCCATTAGAGATTAAGACCGGAGATGGATGTAATCTCGTCAATAGCGACAGACATTTACGTATTGCTAAACCCTCGCAAAATGGGCGGCCAATAAATTCCAAAAGGCCACTTATTTTTTTCCAAATAGTGATGGAAAAGTTTCTATTGCTGAATTGTGACTATTTAGCAACGAAATTAATTTTTCATAACTAATCCTTCACAAAATGGCCAACGAATTAATTCAAGAAGGTCTGCTCCTTTTTTAGAGTTAGCGAAAAAAAACTTTCTCATTGTTATTTAGTGATGAAAACTTAATTTTCATCGCTATTCCATCTTCGAATGGGCGGCTCTTCAATTTCAAAAAGCCATTCATTTTTTAAGATTTAGTGATCGATTTTGGATTTTCCATCGCTAAATAAAAACATGAAATTAGTGACGGAACATAAATTTGTCGTTGATTCCATAGCAATTTCGTCTCGAACCCAAGTCTAAAAAACTCGAGAATATTTTGGTATCACAAATAGCGATAGAAATTACGTTCGTCACCAAACTGTCCCTATTCCATCGCTAAATAGAATAGACATTATTCAATCATTATTTAATAGCTATTTTGAGACGGATTGTGTTTTGTCGTTAGTTGTTATTTTCTAGTTTTCTTATAGTGATTACTCTATAAACTCATTTTATAAAGAGACATAAGAAAAATAATAATTAAATTCATATGCACCAAAATTTATAATATGTTCATTTATATTCAATTTAAAAAAATATATTATTTTTCTTCTTTATATTTTTTTCTTTATAAAATAAGTATTATTAAATATTTTTAGAAGTAAAATAAAATTTTTATGTGCTTACCAACCAAAACCAATGCTTCCTAAGCTGTGAAAAAGTTCACGTACACACTAGGGAAAATGTCAAATGCGTGTTTGTTGATGGCTTCCGGATAAGCTTAGCTTAAGGTACTTACGTTATCTTGAGCCGAGCCTAGCCCTCAGTTTTCGGTATTCTGTCAAGTATATATAAAGAAGAACGTTGCGGATGCTTTTTGCATGATACTCCCACAAATCCCCATCTTTCCTTTTCTCTCTTAATATAAGCACTGTTTTTAGGCCTCTTCCTTGCTAGTTGGTTTGAATTCTATATAATACACAGCTTATAAAGAATATAACTATACTACTAGCATATAGATATAAATGGGTTTTGTGCAGTCGGAAGAGAGGACGAAGATGGAGATAGAGGAATTCAAGCGCATGTTGTTAGCTGGTTGTGGCAGGCTGAACTGGAGAAAGGATGATGAAGAATTTCAAGGCACACGTGCTTCATCCGAACAAGTAGTAGAGCTTAATAATGAAGAGAAGCTTGTGTGCGTCACTAGTGGAGTATCCTTCTTAGGCCTTGCCATCGTGAACAGCCTCTTGACTCGTGGCTACTCCGTCAGAATCATCGTCGATAATGAAGGTGAATATACTACATGTTTGTCTAACTATATAAATTAATTTGAAGGTCTTTTTTTTATATATATAATTAATAGTGTATATATCTTTCTTTCTTAATGAATTAAAGAATGAAATGATATACATATATATATATATATATATATAGAATTAGAGTTGGATTGAGCGATTGTGATGAAATTGATCGATGCGCGCAGAGGATAAAGAGAAATTGAGAGAGTTAGAAACGTCAGGAGAGATGAGGACAAGTAAGAGTGGTATGACGGTAGTCATGGCGAACCTTAGCGAAGTTGAAAGCTTAGCAGAAGCATTCGAAGGGTGTGATGGTGTATTTCACACCTCTGCATTTACCGACCCAGCTGGCCTCTCTGGCTACACTGTAAGCCTCTGCATTAATCTTTCAAAATTAAAAATTAATTCTTTACATCCACCAATGCTCATCATTTGACTTTAGTATAATAATAATAATAATAATAATAATGAAGGAAAGAAAAAGAGTTGGCAGTTGGCTCTCCACATTTTGGTTCGTGGACAGAAGGGTCAAGGTGCACCAACCCCACTTCTCTTAATAAGGCCTACCTATCCTAGTATCTTCTAGTCTTTTTTAAGTTGAGAATTCTTCCATTTCTAACCGATTTTATTAACGAACCATTGAATATACTCCCTTAATTCATACCTATAAATTGACCTCTCTCTCCTTTTCTATCGGTCCATCTTTAGGTAGTGTTTGGTAGAGGATTAAAGTGAGTTAAATATTATCTTTATAAAATGTAAGCTTGTTCGGTATTTTTATTTTTTTAAGGGGGTTAGATGGTAATTGCAATTGAGATGTTAATAAATCATTTTCCGTTGGTATTGAACCCAACACTATTTTTCTTTTGCACAAACTTTTTTATTTCCGTTTTGAGACTAATTAAGCATATAAAATAATATATTTCTTATAGATATTTGTTGCTTAAGATGATAACCATTTATATTCCTTTTTTTTTTTTTAGTCCATATTTCCTTTCTTCTAATTGTTGATGTATTTACTGATCGAATTATAACTAGGAAGGATTAATCAACTCTATATGGACACTAATAGCCATTATTTTTTTGACACGTGCTCTGCATATATATATATCTTTCAAATATTTTGTAGTCTTCTTTATAATCTCTAATAGATTATTTTTAATTATTTGTAAATAAATATTTTTAACATTTACTAAATTAAATTGTTTGGTTTTGAAAATCTGAATAATTTTATAAATTACATATTAAAATACAAATATGAAGATACATAATCTAATATTGCTTTTAAAGTTTGATTTTGATCACATAGATTTAATAAATATATATAGTTGATTACTATCATTACTATAATCTTTCTATATTATTTTTTGAAAATGAGTTATCTATTCAAATAAAATCTATTTATATTGTATTAATATGTAAAGCGTAATATGTGAACAAAAGTTTTATTCAAGATCCTACTAACCTTTATTTTGATAATATGGTATTATAATGAATCTTTTTAATTGAAAGAGTTATTTTTAATTATATGTTATGTGAATTGAATTAATAGTATAGGTATGAATAAAAATTTTATAAGCCTTTATTTTAATAATTTTAATAGTCAGCAAAATTTGTCAAAACTAATAATAAAATTTGTGGATCATTTTGTCCAAAAGAGTAAAAAATAATATAAGACAATAAAAAATAAATTTTCTATATAAAAAAAAAAGGATCCAATTTAAATTTTGTAGTTTTATTATTTTTAGATTTTAATGTTATTGTTACATTTGGGCTTCTTTTTATATTTTGATGGGAAAAAAATAATTTGTTAATTAATAATGTATTACATAGGTTAGGAGTGATTTATGAAGTTTATTTTAAGTTATTTAGGTTTTTATGTGGCTAATAATTAGGAAAATAATGGGGGAAAAAAGATTAACCTATTTTTTAGGTTTTACTAATTTTTTTTTTTTAAATTTCAATTTCTTCAATGTTGGGTTTTTATTTATTTATTAGAGATGAGGTAGAATTTTTTAGATATTAGTATTAGAAATATATTATAAAGTTAGTATTGTATTAAGAGTATAATAGTCAATCAAATGCTTTTAAGAAATTCATTTTTTTAAGAAATCAAATGTTTGGCTATCCTCAAATTAGGCACATGGTCAAATATAGAAAGTTAATTTCAGGATTTGTCAGAACTACTTTTGCTTTAAGTTTGGAATTTTGCAATTTAAGAGCCTACGTATGGTAAACTTATGCCTTAAATTTGGTTTGGATAGAACATTTCACTTTTTGATTTGCATAAATAGATGTTAGCACTTTCCTTGCATAGTTTCATAAGGAATGGAGTTTTTTGTTACCATATAGTAACATAAGAATGCCTGTATTTCATAATTAATGACTTTCAACTACTTAAGAAAAAGAAATCTTAATAGGACAGCTGTATACCGTCCTTAAATCTTATTTCCATCTTTCGTACCCTTCTTCGGGCATGGGCACGGTTGTGTTCATTTCTGTATTTGTTTGCGTAAATGTTGTCTAATTTATTTATTGCGAGTAAATGTGCATAAATGTTCTTGTCCGTTATGAATATTTATGGTAATTCAACTTTTGACACTGTTATTCTTGAATCCTTCGGATAGAAATCCATGGCTGAAATAGAGGTGAAGGCTACTGAGAACGTAATGGAGGCATGCTCAAGAACGCCCTCAGTGAGGAATTGCGTAGTCACATCATCGCTTTTGGCCTGCTTGTGGCGAGATATGACCACACATGGACTCCCACCTGTAGTTAACCATGAGTCTTGGAGTGATGAATCCTTATGCATCCACAAAAAGGTACCTTCATTGCTTCCAAAATCAAAAACCCACTTATATCTCTTCACATTTGCTTAGGTAGAAATCCAGAAAGGAATGGATGAGAGCCACGGAATACATTTCTGTTTTTTGCATGTTTTGATTAATATTGATGTTTTTTCCAGCTTTGGTATGCGTTGGGTAAGCTAAGAGCAGAGAAAGCAGCATGGAAGATAGCGAAGGAGAAGGGGTTAAAATTGGTCACCATCTGCCCAGGGCTCATTACAGGTCCAGAATTTTTTGGTAGAAATCCAACAGCTACAATTGCTTATCTAAAAGGTAATGTAAGCTGAAGTGTCGACCATTCTCTGATATTTTTGTTAATAAAATTCAGTAGAAGGTGTTTGCGCTTTCCTGTCCCATTTCTCATTTCTAAAATCGTGCAATACGTAAACGGAAAAATGCAGGAGGCCAAGAAATGTTTAAAGATGGCTTGCTAGCAACAGTTGATGTGATGAAACTAGCAGAGGCACACGCATGTGTGTTTGAAGCAATGAATAAGACAGCATACGGAAGGTATATTTGCTTCGATCGAGTTATTCAAGTAGAAGACGAAGCACACAAGTTGGCTCGAGAGATTGGAATCCCTGCAAACAAAATAGTATGCGAAAGTGCAACAAACTGTGATCCAGCTCGGTTTGTATTATCAAATAGAAAACTTTGTAACCTCATGTCAAGGACACATAGCAGATGTTATAATCCAAGTTAGATTGTTTCATGCTTTGTTTGCCCATTGCTAGTGATATAAATCAAATGCCCAACTTTTTCTTTCGTTCCTTTTCTTTTAAGAAGAGAGGTACATTTAGCCGAACCTTTAATCCATTAAACAAGATTGACGAATACATACTAAGTGCCCGTTTGGTAGTTTGAAAAAAACATTAATTTGGATGGTTTTGATATAAAACTCAAAAATAAAAAATAAAAACAGCTGAAAAAGACTTGCAAAATATCCCTGCACCGCATCACCAACAAACAGATATATTTAGCAAATGCTTTTTGTGGGTAGTTCAAAGTTGGGTTTTTAATAAGCAAAATGCATATATTTAGCACCATGAAGAAAAGAATAAAAGGAAAATATAGACAAGAGATTCCAGGGAATGAGTTGATCCTCATTTATTATGTGTGTTTTTCTTAAAAAAATAAAAAAATAAAGAATTTGTTTTCTTAAAAGTTTCAGCCGAAAACAAAATCAAATCAAAGGTGGACGAGCAGAAGAAGCCTAAGACAAAAATAAATAATAGGAATTTCTATAGCAATGAATTATTAAAAAAATCCAATAGGAAATTCAAAATCGTACAGAACCAAATCTAGCATAAAATATCGCTTTCTTTAAATAAAAAAGAAGTTTCGTATAAATACAGAGAGCAGAGATCTTTGGTTGTTTCATGCTACTACAGATAAACTGTAAAAACGAAAAACCAAACCTTCAGAATCTCAAAAATAAAAAAATAGTGATAATTGAGGAAAAATAAGGCCTCAGAGAGTTGCTGAATGTGCTCAACGAAGAGCTTTGAAAAGCTCTTCTCATACAAGAGGTGTCAGAAATTATCAAGCACTCGTCATCGTAGCCCAAATAAAATCATAAAATAATAATAACAAAAACGAAGAACAAAAATGAAAGAAGAAACAGAGGAATACAGACTACATGCATAAAAGCGGCTGCCAAGCTTCCATCTAGGGTTTCTGAGAGCTGGGGTAGAGAACACCGTAGTTGTTGGGGGATTTTATAGATTTTTTATGGGCTTTCACAGTTTCAGATTTATTGCCAGCCCATCATATTATTTGCTTTACTAATGGAAACCCTTACAAATCAAACTTGGCCCAAGTCAACGGGTAAAAGTTGTTCGTTCAGGCGCCGTAACGACGGGTTTTAGCATTTTTAGGCCGAAAACCACTATTGGTCCCCCTACCTTTAGTTGTTGGTCATGATTACTCCTATACATACTTCTTACCCAAATTGACCCTTTTATTATTTGTTTATGTGACTTTGTCTGTTTTAAATATTAATAACTCAAGGATTGGACTGATGGTTAAAGAGATTTGCTCCTTTTTTTCTGTTTTTTTTTTTCCCCTTTTTTAAGTTCAAATCTTGTATCCAAGCATCAAGAAAAAAATTAGTAAATTTCTTAAAATCGTTTAGAGAGAAATTTAGTCTTTGTTGAGGTACAAAACTCGATTAAAAAATACCGAACATTAAATGAAAAAGAATATTTAATCTTGTTGTCCACTTCCATTATTGATGTTTGTTAGATTGATCAAATTGTATTAGTTGATTAAAAAAATCTTAAATTTACTATGTGTTATAATAAATAAAATTAAAAACATTAAACTCTTAAAAATTAAAAACAAATTTGATAAAAAAAAATAGAATTGAAATATATTTTTCAAATAAAAAAAATTAAATGTTGGAAAAAGATTAAAGATTTAAATTCCACAATACTAATTCAAGAAAAACCCAACTCATGCAAACTAGTTAAAAAACTAAGGTCCACATCTTGATCAATCAAGATAAATTAAATGTTTTCTATTTTTGTTTTTGAGTTTGTAAATAATATTAACTAATTATAAATGCTTTTCCATATAATTCATAGTGATACTAAAGTATCAACCTCTTTTTCAAAAAGAGAAAGATAACGTTAAACTAATAATTAGCCAACGATTAGCACGTACATTTTAAATAATAGAATAAATTATAATACCGTTTTGAGGTTTGAAGGAATTAAAGATATCATCCAAAAGTTTAAGAATGCAATTAAAAGAAAAAAAAAACCCATGTTTAAAAATAAAAAAAAATAGAAAAATCATAAGAACTGAAACTTTTTTTTATTCTCAAATTATTTTTAATGGTTTTAAAGTTTTACCATTTGGTGATAAAAAGCACTTTTCTTTTTCTTTTTCTTTTCTTTTTTTAATGAAAAGTGACATTAGTGATTTCATGATACCTCTTTTAAAAGATGATGAAAGATTATTAGGTGCAATTATCTTTTTGTTATTATTATTTTCTCTTCATAGTATCATTTTTTTCCTTGGCAACACTGGAATTTTATTATGTGCCATCAATATTAATTGATTTTATACAATCATTTTTTTTAACAATAATCATATATTTTTTTTAATAATTGTCTATCCGAATGATTCATCTAATAAAACAAGTTCGGGTTTTAGTAATTTTAATTTACATTTTTCATATTAGTCTAATGTATCTAGGGGAATAAATTCCTCTAGGTGGTGGTACAAAGGTTCAAGTTTAAAAATAAAGAAGAAAGAAAAATTCTTTAACCACCGAGCATGCTCCTTAGGATTAACTAAGGAGAACTTTCCATGTCCATTTATAGTGTTTATGGATCCTGTGGCATTGGTTAAACTTGAAGAAAAGTTGTTGTTTGAGTTCTATTTTGTGGATATTAATCATACTAATAGAAAAAAACTAAAACATCCGGATAGTTCACTATTCATTTTACTTGTTCATTTAGACATAACATTACTATGGACATACACCCATCTCCCCGTGCACCTCTTCGCTATACCTATCGACCCTTCGATTGTTCTTCCTTGTTGCCGACTATTCTTAGACGTTCTATTCTTTGTTTTTCTTTTTTCTTTTTTTTTTTATCTACCCATTTCTTGTTTTGTGCCTTCCCTATCTCTTTCCCCTGTGTTGTTTGTCTATTTTCCACAATCGCCACTTGTCTTTTCCTTCATTGTTCTTCTTTTGTCCTATAGCATTTAATTCTTCTCTTTCATGTCATTTCCTTTCATTTCACTTTTCTTGCATCTCATTTTTATTTCTTGCTTTCCTTCATTTCCTCATCTCTTATTCTTCATCATGGGTGGCCCACTCATTTTTCATTTTTGATGTTCCCAAAAAAATCTCTAACCTTACGAACCCTATTACTTACCTAGTTATCCATTTTACTTTTAAATTTTATTGCCTCCTTTTATGCAATTACATCGAACAAAGACTTCAATTTTTATTAAAATTTTAACGAATTCAAACATCTTTTCAACTTCAATCAAGAATCATAAAATCATTGAAATCGCTACTCGAATCAAGCGAGTCTTCCTCAAGATCTCGTCAAAACCATAAAGATCAAGACCCATCACCTACTTTGTTACAAATAATGAAAGAAATCATGACTCTTCAAATCACTACCATCGACTCTTCATTGAAGAAGTTGAAGCGACCATTTATGTGATCAAGATTGCTAACAATGAAGAACATATAAGTCCTAATGATATTTCGGAGCAAGATGTCTAACAAAATATTTCTATGTGTTACAAAAAGCAAGAAACACCATGTTGTTGTTTGAAAGCCATGAACGAGAAAAAAAAACCCTATTTACTTAATTAAAGTTAAAAAAGATGTTAGAGACTTTCGATGGGTTAGAATAAGAATCATCTATGCTAGTTTCTAGGGATACTTAAATGGAGAAACTAATTTCTATCAATAAGTCATTTGAGAAAACTAAGGAACAAAATATGGTTAGTGATGAGAGTTTGATCAAGAAAAGAGAAGATGAAGAATCGGAGAAAGATGGCTTCGAGGGTTGAGTACGAGGCTCTTCCTAAAAAATTGCTCTCTTTTCAAGTAAAGATATGGACTTTGTTTAGTTTTTGTTTTGTCTTTAGTTTCTTTGGATTTTGTATATGCATATACTTGAAGATTGTAGAATCCCGGTATTCAATGACAACTATATTAATCACTTCAATTCTTGGCATGCTTGCATATTCAAAACATTTAAACGGGAAAAATAAAATTAAGGTTGTTTTAATTTCAATTATATGTTTGGATATTCGAGAATTTCTTGCTTGTTCCCAACTTATATCTTTAATTTCAAAAATAAAGTTTTATTACCACTTTAATGTGATTATAAACTAGAATACCGAACTAAAATAGGCAAACAAGAAGGTGTGTGTGTGTGTGTGTGTGTGTATATATTATTTAGGGGTCATTTTCCGATAATTTACATCCTATCAATATGATGTTTTGGTTGAATAATTCACTCTCTATGGTACAACATCAATAACTACCAAAATAAGGAAAGAGAAAGCATGAGTTACTTTTAAGCCACGGCTTGTCAAAAACAAGGTTGATCTTCTATTTAATCAGTCATGTACATTAATATGAACGTTAAGTGAGTTTTTTCCCACCTAAAAAATTGCTACTGGAATCTTTCATGGAACAATGCATGCATTTGAAAAGATTTGGCATCAAAAGATAATAGCGGATTGAAAATTATTATTGTTTTCAATGCTTTTACCTTATTTTTTAAAAATTCTCTTTAGAATTGTAAGAGAGATTTTTTTAGCAAGCTACCGATTGGGTGTGTTTTTCACTTTCCATAGTCCGATGCTCTCTAAATTGGTCATCAATCAAGCAAATGATGTGAATTGTGGAGCCTCATAGGTTCATAATGTTTTACGAGCATTTGCCAAGTCAAAAATATACATCTAGTTGTGTTTTGTAAATTATTTATAAAACATTATGAAAATTTTCATCATGTGCTTTGTTAGTTTTAAGCGATACTTATAGTAGTTTGAGATCCTTTCTTACTCGTTTTCATCATATGCTTTGTAGTGTTGTGTTATTATAGCATTTTAGATGTGTGGAACCTTATGTTTCTTAATATGCTTGGTTTTGTGTTTACTTTTTTAGCAAGAATAATTTTACTTGTAAGGGAAAAAATAAAAAGCTTTCATTTGAGGCGG